AAGACCCCTAGAATATGCGGTGATTACAGATTAACACTGAACTCCCGTTTGTTGAAGCAAACATGCACGACGATGGAGGCTGAAGATATTCTAAATCGACTTCATGGTTCTAAAGTGTTCTCGAAAGTTGACTTGAAAGATGCTTATCTTCAAATCCCTTTAGATCAATCTTCATCTATCTTGACAACAATTAACACTCCTTTTGGTCTGTTCAAATACAACTTCCTTCCATTTGGTCTTAGTTGTTCTCCAGCCATATTTCAAGAGGTCATGAATAAGATAGTCAGCGATATTGAAGGTGTTGAAGTTTATCAAGATGATCTCATTGTTCATGGTGCTGATAAAGTAGTTCATGACCAGAGACTTATTGCTTTATTGCGTCGTTTAATTGAGAAGAATATTACAGTGAATCCAAATAAATGTTCATTTAGTGTATTTAGTTTTGAATGCCTTGGATACCTAGTTGATGGTAATGGTTTTAGACCAGATATGAAACGACTAGCCCCACTGACAAATGCACCGTCTCCAAAAAATATCACAGAATTACGTTCACTAGTGGGTGCTCTTCAGTACTATTCTCGTTTTATTCCTAATTTTTCTTGTCGTGCCAATTGTTTATTTAATATTTTGACATCCAATTCATTCAAATGGGGTGAAGAACAAGAGTCATGCCTACGAAGTTTGCTAAAGTTTCTTCAAAGTGATGCTGTTCTTCGAACTTACTCACCCAGTGTACATTCTGTTCTTATTACTGATGCGTCACCTGTAGGTATTGGTGCAGTTTTGGAACAGAAAGGTAGGCCAGTTATATGTGTTTCACGCAAACTTTCTGCTTCTGAACAAGGTTATTCACAAACGCAGCGAGAAGCGTTAGCTGTGTTTTGGGCTGTTAAAAGACTTCATAAATATTTATTTGGAAAGAAGTTTACCATTGTTACTGATCATGAAGCTTTAAAATTCATTTATCATCCTGACAAATCCTTAGCACGTTCCTCAGCTGCTATGGTTCAACGATGGAGTATTGCTTTGAGTGCTTATGACTATACGATTCAGCACAGGAGTGCAAAACAAATTCAACACGTTGACTACATTTCTCGACAACCATTACAAGATAGACCTGTTAATACTTCAGACTGCTTGTTAGTGCAACCTTTACCGGTGAGACGTCCAGATCTCATTAGAGAAACTCGTAGATACTTTGGATGTATACTCAGTGCTATACGGAAGGGTTGGAATGCTAATCTGAAACGTAGATTTCCTGTCTATTATTCAAAGCGGGACGAGTTATCTACTACTCCTGACGGTATTTTGTGTCTAAATGATCGTGTTGTTATTCCTCCTTCATTACGCAAACCTGTCCTTGATGATCTTCATAGTGGACATCTTGGTGTTGAGAAAATGAAGTCCTTAGCAAGACTCACATGTTGGTGGCCAGAGATAAATGCAGATATATGTCGTACAGCAAACAATTGTGAGAAATGTCATAAGCTAAAAAGTCTGCCTTCGAAGTGGACTCCATGGCCAGTTTCGTCTGAGGCCTGGCAGAGAATTCATGCAGACTACTGTGGTCCATTTCTTGGCAAATACTATGCACTTGTAATTATTGATTCTTTTTCTAAGTGGCCTGAAGTTTTTTTCACAACTTCACCGAATTCTGACTTCACAATTCAAGCATTAAGGAAGGTGTTTAGTCGAGAAGGAGTTCCCATGGTGTTGGTGACTGATAATGGCTCTCATTTTGTTGCAGATGCAGTCACTAATTGGTTAAATGGTATAGGGTGCAGACATCTGTTTACGGCTCCCAGGCACCCTTGTTCCAATGGTCAGGCAGAAAATTTTGTAAGAACATTGAAAATTGCTATTGATTCTATTGCTGCTTCGACATTTAATGAACTGGAGAGGGGAGTAGATACATTTCTACTTCAGTATAGAAATGCTAAGCATTCTGTGACGAAAGAAACTCCATCAAAGCTATTAAAAGGAAGAATTCTCCTTTCGAATATGAGGTGTTTGGAGTCTGCAGAAGTTACATATTATCGTGGTAATGATCTTCGACCAGTCACGGGGATCGTGGTGAAGAATGTTGGAAAATCTATGGTGCGAATTCTGGATATCAATGATTTGACTATACATAACAGACATGTTGATCAAATACAATACCAGAATCCAGGTGAGTCTGTCCCAATTTCGGTTGTTAATTCTAATACTAATGAGTGCATTCTAGATAATACAGAGTCTACATCCAATACACTATCGGACAGATGCAAGATGAACTTAAGAAGAAGACGAACAATTGGTTACAGACACTTACACTCCAATTCGAGCTGTGGCGGATGTGATGTTTAAATAAATCAATGACTTGTTTGTATTGATGACTGTTGTAATTTTGAATTCCAAATACACTACATTCGTTCGGGCTCATCTAATACTTCTTGATTATATTGCGTTATTCCGGGGATTACTAGTTCATACTACAATTCAAATACTTCTAATTATCATAGCTGGTCATCCGGCTATTCTTCCATACAAATTTATTAAGATAGTCCTGCCGTCGTAAAAAGTGGCATATGAATGTGACATTACTTAACTCCCCACCTAGGAGGAAAAGAGAAACACACCACAAGTGTTGTTCAGGTTTATGATAACGATGTTTAACAGAGAGCGTCGGTAGTGTCTGTTTGGACCAGTAGCAGCGTCAGAGTAGGATTGAATGATGATCGATATCTCAGGTACAATCACGTGCACGATTCATAAAGAAATGTAAGATCACCCGATCAAGCGATACAGATGACACCATATTACAAAGAATAGTACACTTCGAATTCTCAGTTTTAACACAGAAAAGACCAAATTGGGATAAATCAACCCGTGCACTCATTATATATATATATATATATATATATATATATATATATATTATAACTGGTTAATAGGGAGAAATCTGATTTAGCTTTCTAGTCCGAAAATTCTTTTTCCTCACTTTTTGTTTATCCACTAACCAAATATTACCTCAGAAGAATGAACTGAGAACGCTTTCAATATTTCATCTATCCCTTCCATCTATAGCTCAACATCCAAACAGAAAATGTTCCAAAGGTTCAAAAGTAAGAATTAACCTTCTGTACCTGGATGTTTGCTTTCACATTGAAAAATAAACTAATATTTTCAAATAATACTAGTATTTTTTTTTCAATACGTTTGAGAGGAGGTATGATTATCAAAAAACTACTGGTCGAGTGGCGGGTTCAAATAAGCCACTGAATTTTGAATCAACAGGAAGTGTTGCCTCTTCTGGTGTATCCTTTTTAATGACTTTACACTATTTCAACCTCCATAGAAAGCCAGCCTAGTGACCATATAAATCACTGGTCACTGACTATGCTAGTCTCATCATATAATTCTACGGAGTTTCTAGTATATGATTTCTCATTGTTTTCGGTTATCAATAAATTACCTCGCACTTCATTAACTTCATTATGAAGAGTCACTCCTCTTCATTGATCTGTAGGCTCATGAATGTTTTGGTACTTCAGTGAATGGAGGGTGTTCGCTTCGTAAATCAAAATGCCCTTGTGAGGTCATGTATTTATACTCTCTTCTAAGTCAACCTTTCTGACTGCCTTCATGCTACGAAGGTGCTGTACACTAAAATGAGAGGACCGTGATTCTAAATAAATGATGTGCATGGGTTTAATAACCTTGAGTAAACAAATGATACATTAAACTGTTTTGGTCACCTATTACCGTTGCACGGTATCCCCTGGCTATCATCTGCTGTGTTTTCGGTTGAACGCATTCCTGATGCAGCACACCTGAAGGTGCAACAGGTATTCGGAGCTTGACAAATCTTTTACACGTAAAAATTACATAATGGATGTATTCCAACCCAGTTATAATAGAAGTCAGAAAAGGAGAGGTTCGAAGACGTACTTGAAAGCCTATCGATATATTGGGAAGCGTTTAATATAAGATGGCTAACGAGTGTAAGTGGTGCGTATCGTGACGTACCTACTCACGATCTGATGACGATGCGTGATCGAGCATCTTCAGTTATATGTATCCATGAAAATTAATGGGGTCAGTATCAAATGTCGAAGACTCGTGAACTATATCTTTTTGGGATTTATCTACCGCTACACATCCAATAGGATCAAAAGCTCTGAGAATGATCCCTTTAAAAAACCTTCTGCTTTCAACAAAGTGCCTAGGTATATGTTAACCGACTGACGATGATAATTTGTGTAGCGTATATTATTTCTAGTGCCGCGTTGTATCGGATTTTATAAAGCAATCTATCTGAGGACAATGTGAGTATCATCTTTAACTCACATAATTCGTCAACAAAGTTTAATTGATCAAGAGTTATTTTTGCGCCTTGTTTCCCCTGGACTTAAGTTTCTATACCTACCGTACCAAAAATCCCTTTGAAACGGACGTACTACAAACTCTGAAGGGCATTTTTAGACAACCCGATAGTTGGAATTTTTCAACTAACTTTTAAGTTTTAATCAGCTAAACTTCCAACATGAAAATATCTTGTTTCATCGTTCACCTCAGACTGAAAGAATACTTTGAGGCATATTCAAGGATGAGCCATTAAATCGCTTCGTGGTCTTAAATTTAAGTAATGCATGGAACGTCAGTAAACACAAGACATATACCATCTATAACATAAGACTCTCAGAGGCAATATCTGAAGACCAATGATATGACATATAAGTAGAGGAACTCCTCCAAAACTGTTGTGATTCAATTTTAACAACAGTCTCAGTAGGCCTAATTCAAAGACTGAAGTCCAATGAAGAAGTCCAATAGAAATGTAGAAATACATTACAATAAGTAGGTGCGATCACGTTTTGAAACTGTCTTACGCCTTAAAAGGGTCGAGCAACCACTAATCCTGATTCATAATTAAAAACCATTTCCTCAATATTCCCTGTTGAAAGGGGAAATTTTGAAAACAATTATAAACATGAAATTCGTTACGAAGATATTGGAGATGGTGAGTTAGTTCGCCGCGTGTTTTGATGCGTACGCTACAATTTCACATGTAGATGGGCAATGAAAGATATCCTAAGAACTTCTTATTCCTACTTGAAAAGGAAAATTAGGCCTTCCTCCATATCGTTTTTTCCGAAACCCACAATCTTCAGTGTATTTAGGAAGTCAAGGGTAGTCGACTCTTTGGACTCTATTCGAAATCCTCCAGCGACTACGCAGTTTGCATTAAAGTACTTTGTTTTTAACGTAAAAATATCTTTCTTCAACAGAAATGCTTACATACCACTCACCCGTAGGACGCTCATTCGAGAACTATTGCAGGACAGTAGGACAGTATTACCATCCGAAAGAAAAAGCTTTGAGAAAATAGCTATCTTTCTTGACAGAAAGCTGGAAAGTCAGTTTCAAATTCTTCAGAGTGAATTTTCGGTAAGCTTTATCTAATCTTCGGTTCTCCATCTACTTCATCTGGTTAGTGTGAAAAGAACGAGCTGGGATCCTTTCATCCAGTTCGTTATCTACTTTCTCACATTAGTTCAAATATCTCAGTCAGTCAGCTACAACGTAGGACCAGGCACATATATGCATCGGTTCAAGTTGCAATATCTCGTTGGCACAACAAGATGAACAATAAATTCATAGAAGTAGTTAATTCAATGGTGTTAATACATAAAAGAAAGGTTGTACATAAGGATGTAGTATAGGAAGAAAAAAAAGATATGAAGCAATTTTAATCTCCAGGTTTAAGGGAAGATAAAGAGTGTATACACCTGTGCCATTGTGATCGATTCTGAGTCATGTCACATATAATCTCCAACGTTCAAATGTCTCTATAAATAACGGTGTAGCTGACTTAAGTCTCGCTAGCCTTGTATTACTTTACGCTGTCGGATTCTATGGATCTTATTTCGATAAATTAATACTCTACAGCGAAATGTCATTCAGCTTTTTACATAGAAGTATCTTCTGAGTTGTCTGGATGTCGCTTTAAGTAAAAAATAGGTTAAAACATTGAAATCAAATTACATTTTCTGCCTCCAGATTGGTTTATTTATTTATTTAAACACATAAATATTGGTACAAGGAAGCACCAAATAAATATGCGCCTCACAAATTTCACTTGATTTGTGTGAGGGCTGTGATACTGCTCAGGTGCCCAGAATGAAGCAGGTGGTTTTCTAAGGAGGCCACACCTCGAGCCTTTGACCTAAAGGTCTAGTCCACAAGACAGTGGAGCATCGTGCGGAGATGCAGTCCCATGGTAGCCGGTGATCAACGATTGATTCATACGCAATTTATTCCCTCAGGATACTGGAGCCCATGTGCACCATTGGTTTGGAATCAGGGTTTTCCAACTCCCCTAGGTGAACTTTCCGTGTCCACCAACCCGGTTAAAGCGCCGGACATTCGCTTTTCATCCTCTTAATTTCGTAAACAACACCCTTTGTTTTGAGAAGGCGATGAGTAGGACTTCTCTGGCAGAGGCTATATACGCGTGGCCCTGTGAGAGCATTTGGAGAGGAAGAGCGGACTCTCCCCACTCTCGGCCGTATCAGGGCATTCGGGTTGCAATTGTTTGATTTCCAGAGTCCTTACTTGTATGATTGACTTAGTGTACTTTAAATCAGTGAAACAATTCTCCCACACTTCAACCCGCCTGTCAAAAGGGAACTCACTGTCTCTATGGATTTATCTCGCTTAAATCAAAACAACAAACTTCAGCGTTTATTCTGCTGGAACCTCACTTAGTTTCCATATTTTTTAAAACCCTGGGCCGCAACTGAAAGGTAGTCTATTAATTTGCATAAGTTCTAATTCGCAACTTTCAAGTTATTGAGAGACTCAGCACTATAGATGTCTTCCTAATGTTGTAAATAGCTTTAATTTTTCATGGTGAAATTAAGCTGCGCTGAGAAATACATCAAACATGCCTATTACCGCCTTAAAAATGATTAAATCAGTTTAGAAGCCAATCAAATAATCTTAGTTATCACAATAGATGAATTAATTCATGGGAGTTCGTTTAAGTAAGTCGTAAATTGACTCCATAACCAGATACTCGTCAACTTCGTGTTCAGATACACTGCATCTAAATTGTTACAAATGGGCTGGAGCTGTCTTATGACATCCTATTTTCTACAAGTGTCTGAAAGTGACTGTGTAGTTAAGCATTAAAATCAGCAAATCAGTAAAAACCATTGGCTACTGTTACTGACTGAAATATCACCTATGACATCCAACCCTAGGTTTCGATTATACTGCGAGTTCGAACCCGGTCGTTTTCACCTTCTGACACTGCCCAGATCAACAGTCTATCACTTCATAAACTGGTGCTTTAATCTGCCCATCCTTGGTTTTGTTCAAACTTACTCCTGTGCCAATTAGCATTATGCAGTGGAGTAAGAGGTGGCTAGGCATGTTTAACGCATTTCCAAACTACTTCGATGAAAGTTTATAACCTCACTAACCCCATTGCCAGCCATGTAGATGAACCTAAGCAATTGTTTCTTGGGTTCTGTGGTCACGCTCCCAAGTCTCTAAGACCACCACTAGTTCAATTTCCTTTTCAGGAGTCCCAGGGAGAAATACCTTTCCACAATGTAGTCAACCGAGAAGTGAAAACCGCTCATACACCACTAAAATCACTCGATTCATCACTACTCATAATAATCAAACTATCTTGTGTTAATTTACCACTTCTACTTACCAAAATTCAATGCAACAACTTTCATTCTGTTTGCATGTCACTTGGAAAACACAAAACACGATCCTAAATAGTTTCCCACCTAAAATAATTACTTATCTCACGTTATTGTAATTACTATTATTATATTTTGTGTACCAACAATAGGAATAATTCCCTTTTTTATTTTCGTTTTGCTCACTCGAAAAGGCTCTATCACGTCCTCTCGATGTTTCAAATAATTCAGAAGGGACCAGTTCGTTTTCTGTTGATACATCCAGTAATTCAAATGAACTTGACCGGGAATTCTGGCTTCTTCGTCGGTTAGCAGATATTGCTCCTATAGCTGGCTTTATTGAAATACCTCAACATCAGTTACAAAAAGCATGTAACTCAATCAAATCAAAACATCATGGTTTAATAGTGAGTTCTTTTTATATTGACTTTTCGACACCTAAAACACTCCCTACTGTCAATAAACATAGTCGACTAAACGCCAGCATATTTATTTGTAACCTATACACTTTTTCTCAATATTTCCTAACTAGTTGCCAAGTAGTGATAGGAACTTCATCTTTAGGATTAATTTTCAATGAATCTTCTCAATTAAGGGTACCCCAAAAAAGCGGTTTATAATGGGCGCGAACATAGTGGTAAACTTCGGGCCCTTGATATTGGTATTCAGCACAATTCAGATGGCTAAATAAAACTCTATATTTAGCGAAAAAACACGGGGTAGACTTTATTTGAATTTCAATAGCTCCTATCTAATAGGTTACAAAGAAGCTTTGGTTAAAACACTGCCCAATCATGTGCTGAAACTATATTCAAAAGATGAGATTAAGGAGTAGTTATTTATGGTCGAAAAGTATCTGCTAGATAATGGTTACCCACAAAAGTTCAGTAAGTATAGGATAACAACAAAAAGGAAATGGAATGTGCCACGGTCGAAAAAAAGATAGTCTTTTACGAGTTAGCTTCAAAAGTGATGAAATAGTATAACTAAACAATAATGAGATGATAGAAGTAAACAATACTAAGTGAAGTTAGTATAGTTAGTCATAGACTAAGTGCTACGGTGAGAAGGGAGTATCGAATCGCTAAGCTAGTCTCATTTTACCATATAAAATGCTCACTGAGACAAACAAAAGTGGACAAATTCTCATCCCATGTTACCTCAATTGCATTTACCAGATTATTTGTTCGAATCAGAACAGAAAGGGGAATACTTATTCGTATCTCGGAGCACATTCCACAGCAAATGAGATGACAAGGTCAACCTGTTTTTCAGTGTAGTTCCCTGTTATCCACTTGATAGTGGACAGTATTATTACATCAAGATCATTCAAAATAAACAGTACTTGAGGGACTTAGATTTTACTATATTTAACTAAGCCCATCGTTGTTAAAAAAATTGGAACTGAAACTTTGTATTGGAAAGGATGCAGTTGCAAATCACTCTGTCTACTGTGATGACTTATGTTTTCTATTAAATGGTATCTTATTTCGTGTTCTCAATTATTTGTTTCTATTTTATTTAAACACATAAATATTGGTACAAGGAAGCACCAAATAAATATGCGCCTCACAAATTTCATTTGATTTGTGTGAGGGCTGTGATACTGCTCAGGTGCCCAGAATGAAGCAGGTGGTTTTCTAAGGAGGCCACACCCCGAGCCTTTGACCTGAAGGTCTAGTCCACAAGACAGTGGAGCATCGTGCGGAGATGCAGTCCCATGGTAGCCGGTGATCAACGATTGATTCATACGCAATTTATTCCCTCAGGATACTGGAGCCCATGTGCACCATTGGTTTGGAATCAGGGTTTTCCAACTCCCCTAGGTGAACTTTCCGTGTCCACCAACCCGGTTAAAGCGCCGGACATTCGCTTTTCATCCTCTTAATTTCGTAAACAACACCCTTTGTTTTGAGAAGGCGATGAGTAGGACTTCTCTGGCAGAGGCTATATACGCGTGGCCCTGTGAGAGCATTTGGAGAGGAAGAGCGGACTCTCCCCACTCTCGACCGTTCAGGGCATTTGGGGGCTAAGCTAGCAGTGGAATCCAACTTGAAGTGCGTTTCGTCCTGTTTAGGACTCGTCAGCTGGATATACCTGCATTTCAGAGTTAATATTCACTCTGGGGACTCGAACCCAGTACCGTTCGCTTCAAACGCCATCTCAATTATAAGTTCCCTTTCCTCCATTCTTGAGCTTTATTCATTTTAATCTGTTAATCTATTCAATTTTACGCTTGCTACTCAGTAACTTTCAATTTTCGTTCTCTAGAAACTTGTCTCTGTATTTTCTAAGGTTTTTCTCTCGGAATTTTCCCCTTTAATAACATACAAATATTCATACACTTTAATGTTCTATAATCCCTCCATACATGTTGCCGTTGTTTTATTAATCTTCGATCTAAAGTACTTTACACTTGTAACCTGATAATGTTTCAGTATTTTTGTTGTAGACTCGTAGCGTCTCGTAATAAACCTCCAATTGTAAACTGAAACGTCTCAAATACATAAGTATCACGTTACCATACCCATCATTGACGGCCTGAATTATTTTGCCTTGAAAGCAAATTGTAGAGTTCGTATATGTGCTAGTTCCGACTTAGAGATTTGTTATTGTACCTCACTTATTACATTTTACTTGCCCCCAAATGCCATGATACGGCCAAGAGTGAGGAGAGTCCACTCTCTCTCTCAAAATGCTCTCATATGGTCACGCGTGTACAGTCACTGCTTCCTCGCTCTGGGGGCGTTGTTTACGAAATCGAGAGGACGAAAAGCGAATTTCCGAAGCTTTAACCAGGCTAGTGGATATGGAGGATCCACATAGGGGAGTTGGAAAACCCTGATTGCCAGTCAATAGTGCACGTGGGCTCCAGGATCCTTAGGGAACGAATCTATTGTTGGCGACTAACTACCATGGTACTACATCTAACGTTATCGCACTGCCTTATGGATTAAACCTCTAGGTCAAAGGCTTGGGACTGCCCCCTAAAAAACCAACTGCTTCAGTTTAGGTATCTGGGCAGCATTCTAGCCCTCACACAAATTGAATGATTTGTGTGGTGCATATGTATTTGGTGCCTCCTTGTACCAATGTTTGTGTTTATATAAATAAATAAATAGGAACTACTTATATGTTTTGTCCAACAAATTGGATTTAATGATATTTAATGAATGATCCCTCCTACATGGAACCTCTCAAACGTGTGAGGAATCATGTGTAACCAAATGTGTGATGTTGCATTACTACATTCCCCTGGACGTACTACACTGGTGATTGTCTGCAATTTTCCTGCCCGTTTTTTTATGACCGCTCTTATTTACCAAACTGATTCCTTTACAATTCCTCATTAGTTCCAAAATACAGAGATGATACTGAAATTATTTGGAGACTGTAAATTATAAAACAATTATATGATTAAACAGCTTCATTTCTAAAGACTTCTAGGATTATCCCGGACAATAAGAATAGACAGTGTACTCTAAGTATTGTAAAATAGTTTTTTTTTACTTTAATTCACGTATTCATTGGATGAGCCACATATAATTCAAGCTTAGTCTATCACATCTTTTCTGCTGTCTTATACACCAGTGGTTAATCGTAAGAAAGTGTGAGATTTGTGTACTCTTATAAATTTCGTTAGCTACGTTACTACCGATGATAATTACAGTAGACTCTGGGTAAACATTTTTTATTGGTTATTTTGTATGGTTTTAGAAATGAACTACCAGGAAATTTTATGTAGAATAAATTAGAAATCTCCTGCATTGTTTAGTAATTTCAAAATAATCAAGTTAAATACCGGTTAAAATTGGTAGAATATTCAACCAGTCAGTCATAGGAGTAAAGTTAATAATGGGGATAGATGAAATGTTAATTTACGAAGGGACCTGACTGTAAACCAAGTGATTTTAGCGGTGTATCAGTAATTGTCACTTCCTGGTCACCTATATCTCTGAAGAACACTCCTTCCTAAGGTACCTATGAGGGAAATTGTTAAGTAATGGTCTTTGCAACCTGAAAGCGTGACTGTAGAACCCAAGGAACAACTGATATGGCAGGTAATAGCCTAATCAATTGAATTACAAATAACATACAAAATTGATTTTTTTTCTCCAATTATGTGTGACATGTATTCACATATTAAGAAGGGTTATAGATGCTTAATTGTATGATATTTGAATTACTTTAAACTTAGTAAGTTATTGAATTATTATTGAGATATACAACTCAGTTCAATTTATACAAATCTGACTGTTAACGTAACTGTAAATAATTCATATAGAGTGTGATGTATTCTTAAATCATTTCGTTGTATTTTGTGAGTCAAATAAATCCTCATCACCAGTCTTTGCGTTTTTTATTTTGTGTCCAAGTTGTCGTGCAAACTTAGCTTGGGGTTATTAGAAGTGTTTAGTTAAGAGACTTATCAACAGCTTCTTAAGTGCTGTTACATACGGCTTTCTTCATAATTTTCAGATCTTCATCGCTGATAGAAACTCATGGGGCAGGCTTATGTATACTACTATTAGGACCGACCTTTCTCAACCACTTTCTCCCACTGTGAGAAAGCAGTATCACCACAGATTCTGGTTATCTGAAGGACACCCTGGTACAGTCAGCATTACGACTTTGTGCTCTAACCTTAGATTGCTACTTTTAATCTATCTGGCCTCCAACTGACCCTTCTAGTATAACTTAATAGGACAAGTACTCCAGTCAGTTTACCTCCATTCGGTTATCACGGTATACAAGCCCGACCACCACGTTTAGGTAATAACTACAGTCGCGTTGGAGAAATATTAGTGTTTCTCAATATCCCCGTATCCTGTTGAATCTCATAAGTACTGGTCTGGTGTGTGACGAAATCTCGGCACCGATTCAGAAGGCTCAATTGGATTTTTCCAACTTGCATCATTTATGGGGTAGGCAAGATATCCTTCTTCCAACCAAAAAGCGGAGTTTACTGTACAGCAGTTCACTCCGTTCTACTTTATGGATGTAAAACATAGCTGTTAAGAGTAGAGGATATTCGTTCGTTCCTAGTATTCGATCATAGATGTCTACGAAGCATTGCTTGTATATTTTGGGACCATGGAATTAGCAATGCCAGGGTTAGGAATAGATTACTAAGCAAACATGATAAATCAGTTGATGAGGTAGTAAATCTTCACTAACTGAGATGGTTGGGACATGTGTTACGTATGTCTAGCCACCACCTACCTGGACGGGCGATGTTTTCTGGTGTAGGAGTAGGTCGAAAGGAAGCTAGGGGCGGCCAAACCAAAACATGGCATCAATCCATGAAATCACTGACAATTGTACTTAGCCATGTTAATAGGTATAGACTACCTGGTTGGGGTCCGCGTAATTATCGTAATCAGTGGTTAGATACTTTGACATGGTT